GTGTGTGTGTGTGTGTGTGTGTGTATATAATATATATATATATATATATATATATATATATATATATATATATATATATATCTCAAGAACCAAGCAAACGATAAGTTTGGTATCAATATCCTTCACCCTATACTTGAAACAACATGTGCAAGCCGCCGTGTGTTTTTGTGGTGTAAAATTATGTACGTTTTGTCTTTTTGAAACTTTATCTACAATATTTTGTGTCTGCTACTTATCCTTTCGATCTAAGGTACATAGTTGTGTACCAAGAATCCCGACCAGTTGCAAATGCTCGATATTCTATTCTTTGCATCGAGCACCAGAGCGCATTACAATTGAATCTGACCATCATGATGCTCTTATCAAATAGTCTTACCAAAACCTGGATCATGGATAGACATAGGCTGCTTATCTATAGGCGTGGTTTTCGTCACCGAGTCATTCATTTTACTTGCGATCGAGTCGGTATCCGCATCTACCACTGTCACCCCATCCTCTTGATCGAGGTCTCCAGTTTTCTCTCCCAATCCATCCTTCGAAGTCATTATATTTTGTTGTTAATTATGCATCCACAGCATACAGTTTAGGGATGTGAAAGCTTAAATATCTCTTTATTATGCTAGCAGCTTCTGCAAAAGTGATTATAGAATACCTTTACCATTACATGCCGTAGGCCTTAGGTCCCAGCAGGCGTACAAATAACAATCGTTCATTCCACTCTAAGTCTCCAGAGTCAAAAGTGCGATTCATGGGCGACTTCCAGTTTCCTCACGATTCCATTGGCTATAGATTTTATGCGATAGCTATAGCTGTATAGCATAGGCTTTCTTAGAATTAGGTTTATGCCGCTATGGTGCGGTCGGATATAAATAGACCCCATACACACGTATATAACGTGTGTACCACAACCCAATTTATTTAATTTTTCCATTCGTTCCAAAAATTCCCTTCTCTATTTTAATAATATGCCCGAACTTTCCGAGATGCACGACAGCACAACAACAGCCGCAAATGTATGGGACACTGAAGCCATTATCACAGAAATAGCCGCATTACGCGTACGAGAAGACGCAGCCGGCGCAGCCGCGCATGCCGCGGGTATAGCTGATGCGACTTTGATGGTGAGGAGTCTGAGGGGAATGGTGGCGGCCGACGCACAGACTGTACAACGCCTACCCGAGATTGAGGATCCGGACTTGACGGTCCGTACCGTATGCCTTGACGACGAAAATGTGGACACAACTCGGCTCCGCCTTCCGTGTGGCCATGTGTTTCATCCGGGGTGTGTGAAACAGTGGTTCACAGTCGCGAATTCGTGCCCGCTGTGTAAGGCGCGCTTGCCGGCGGCGGCGGTGCTGCTAACGCCAGTGGTGGATGAAAATAACTTACAGATTGATCTAATCCCGACTGGGATTGACAACTGGTACATGCTTTGAAAATAATATCATGAAAATTTAGCATTGGGATGAAATTATTTATTTCAAAAATGGCAAGTATGTATGATACAATGTATGAACATATGGTATGGCTCTCATAGTCGCTGTAGTGGTTCAGGAAAGATTGATGGGAAGAAGTGGTCAATAAATTCCCGTCTGAAGCTTAGGCCAAGTGAGTCGACAATGGAAGATATGTGCTGAGTCAATTCGGGCCGATGTTGACAAAACACTGTTACTATCGAATGTCCCATATATTCGCTTGCTGACCTACTAAGTAGAGTACCCACCTCTGTGGTACGGATCGGGTCCAACAAGGAGATCGCGGCAATGGCCCGGCGCCAATACTACTACCAACTGGTTATGGGTAAACCGCCAATCTCAAACCGAGGAACAACGTGGACACATGCACCACAGACACTTTCACCGGAGCACCACCCTTACCTGTCCTGAGCCCACCGCCACCCGCCATCATAGCCCCGCCCACCAACCAACTCACCATTGAACCACCATCCGCACAAAACGCAAATGCAAACATAGCCGCAATGAAAGCAACGCACAACACACACCTCCACTACAAACAGTACCACGCGTATACTCACACATAGCCAAACTTTTAAACAGCAACGACTGGAACAACTTGGTACGGATTGAACTCACCGCCCTGGCTATGACATCACCAACACTTATACTTGTCGACACCAAACCACCAGAAAATCAAATTTTTATCCCGAAATGGGTATTCACATAGAAGACGAACGAACATGGCATCGTTACCCGCCTCAAATCCCGCCTTACTGTCGCCGCCTGGGGAGCTACCCAAGGCATTGACTACGAACACAGCTACGCACCGGTAATAGGTAAAGACAAATTTTGCCTATGCATGGCGCTACTCGCACTTACGCCCATGATCGTGAACCAATTCGATACCCCCAACGCATATCTCAACAGTAGTTTTGAACCCCCCGTATACATGCGTGTTCCACCCGGATTTCACCTACTACAAGCACAACTTTCACAACCACAACAAGAATTCCTTTAGCGTTCCAAAGCCAATGACATATCAGTAGTATGCAAGGTTACAAAAGCACTCTATGGCCTCCCACAATCTGGAGAGTTATGGTATAAACAAATCACTCAATTATGTGGTGAGCTAGGATACACATGCGTATACCAAGACCGAGCACTATTTATCAAACATACACCGCAAAACCTCTGCCTGCTGTTTGTACACGTCGACGACAAGATACTAATGTGCCAATCACAACAAGACTCTGATGCTATCACTCAGGACAGTCACATGCAACAGTTATTGAACATGACAGTGTAAGTTTCGGTCTACCAAGGCAATATTAACGCCATATAGTAATTAAACGCGTAGATTAAGTCTAAGTATATTTAAATTCAATGTTAATAAACGAAATGAGTCTTGTAGTAAAGTCAGGTATGCCTCATGAAAACAGCAATACTCTGAGGGATTGTGAGACTGAGACATTGCCTATATTTAATCCTCTCAGTACTGTTTTCGCCGCAGGGATTTTATTTAGTGATTCGTTGTCGCTCTAATAGAAACTATGGTATGTTTCGTTGGGGCGAATCCGAGAGGCTCATAAAATCCTATCTTTAGAAGAAAAAGAAAAAAATTACTCTTGATGTCCATAGTTATACTGGGGCCTTTCAATGGCTTTGTCCAAATATCTGATATGTAAAATGGAAAAGGTATTTAATTATTAAAAACCGTTAAACCCCATTTAAGATTTTACGTACTTTTAAGAGTACGTTTTACGTATTATTAAGAGTACGTTTATATTACAAGATTCTAATGTGGAGGCCCGGCTTTTACAACAGTCAATCATCAATGCAGATCAGTCAGAACACGAAGTCATCAGCCCGTACTAAACATGTTCACAAGTACTAACACTTTGCACAGAGGAAAAATTGCAGATGGCAAGATACAACTTAGAAAAGTGCACACAGATGCTAAGCGACATGTTTACAAAACCCTTGGACCCGGGAAAGCTCAAGAAGGCACGCGATTGCATTATGACTAAGATGTCAGACATACACATCACGCCCTCCCCATAAGCTGATAAGCATAACACACTTCACCATGCGTACATAACACAACACTACCACAGATCTACATATAGGCAACACCATTATACATAGCCTTGTACATAGAAATATACCTTCAATCCACCAGCTGCAGCCCACATGCTCGCTTAGTCATAAATAAACTATTAACCCTAAAACCCTAAACCGAAACCCTAAACCCTGACCCATAACCCCTAAACCCTAAACTTTAAAAACCCTAAAATACTGAACACACACAACACATTCAGAACCCTAAAACCCTATTAAAAAACCTAAACCCTAAACCCTAAAATCCATGGACTTTATACAAAACTCGACATTCTAACAAATTGAAAAATTGATGACAACTCTTCACTAACCCTGACCCACGTCTCTCAAGACCCAATTTTCCAAAGTTTTTTTTCAAAATTCTCAGGTAAAACCCGGTCATCATCAAAAAACCGTTGCAAAATTGAGGGGAAGTATTGGACGGACACACAGTAAAAGAGTTTTTACACACTTTTACAGAAAGAAGCCAACGGGACACCGGCATAAAACTAAATGGATCATTATAAGATTATATCTTTACAGGATTTTTCCTTTCTTGACCAAGAAGGGTTTTTCCCCCAGTCAGCATAGTTAGAAGCTGGCTGGTTAACAACTATAAATACCCCAAGGAAACTCTGAATAAAGTACTTATCTCTATGGTCTAAATACTGGTACTTCAACATGAGGCACTTTTAGGGTCGATTATCGTTGTACAATTCAATACCTCAAAATACCTGACAATTATCCAATAGTCCCTATTGACATGTGTTGTCACTCACAAAGTTAGAAAACACTATTATGACAAGTAGCCGTATTGTTACTATACTATATATTTAATGTGACAGTGCACACTTGTAATTGGCATTTTCTGTTGCGATAAGCATGTCGAACAGGTCAAGGCACTTGAGTGGTGGTCGGGCGAAGAGACATAAATTAAGGGACAGACAAACGAACAAGCCTATTGCAGTTGTACAAGATAAAGAGTTTGAACCTGATGATATAGAGTTGATTAGTGATGAGTGTCAAACCCACGACATAGATCTGTTCAGGCTTCGCAGTCGCATCATTAAAAGAGAGTACCTTCTCTTCGACAATCTCTGCAGCGTAACATAGCTCTGTTGATACTCGGTGAAGCGTTTTCTTTCGCTTCTTCATAGTGTGGTGTTTGTGAACACTTTTGTGGTTTGACAATGTACAAATTTAAAAAGCAGTGTTTCATTTTTTTTGACCGCCGACTGTCGACAATCTAAATATTGGCCACCACATCGGCTGTCATGGTCGAATTTTTGGCCTCATCATCAAAATGGCCGAATTTATTATTATTACAGCAATGGCTTCCTTTACTCAATCCTAATCACACAGGATATTTTGTTCTTGAAAATTCCAATTTTTTGACATAGAAAAATATATATAAAAGTAAAGGACCAAGAATAGACCATATGACTATATTTAGCATATGGCTATATTTACTTTTCTTTTATTTAACCAAAAACAAAAACAAAAGAAAATGACATCTGTAGTAGACTGTACGCAAGGTTTACTATAAATATTGTAAAGGTGTTTAGATGTCTGCTACCTTGACTACTGCTAGAGTACAAAAGAGTCCTCAGAATGGGTCCTGTCCTCCTAATGACCAAGTTGGTTCTATCTAATACCTGTAAGCCTTCTTAATATTAGTGAGAACAGTACCAGCATTAGTAATTGAATGTACGTGTTCAAGAAAGAATGTTTTATCAGTGGCTAAGAATTCATCCGCACGAGGATGCCCCTATTTTAGCTGCGAGATCAGACCATGTCTGCCACGCATCACTACATCCATTCAGAAAACGCATCGCAGGGATACTAGTACGCAAAGCCGCAATATCCTGGCGCTTATGTTCATTATCGTCATCTGCAAATGGATAACTAAAACACAGCCATCCTCCGTAAGCGGACGCTGCCACACGACCCATCGGCCTGTGCTCAGGTCTACCAAGGGGTACCCGGTATGCCGAAAGGTTTTTAACATACAAACGATATTCCTTTTGTAGTTCAGCATCGGAAATATAATGCATAACAGGTGCAACATGCGCAAGAACGGTTGCCGGACCCAACCAAAGTTTGTGCTGGGGAGGTGCCATCGGCGTGTACATTAGTTCCCGATCGATCGCAAACATGGGAGCATCAATACGGCTGTAATCAGCCGACTGCTTCTGGGCACCCTCTGCCCGTGCTACCACCTCGAGTGCCTGCAAGTTACGATCCAACGGTTCTTGCCGAAGGGAGACTGTAGGTTCTGCACACCCTAAGGCCTCATCCAAGATTGCCTCAACTACGGGATCTGTAGAGTGGGGATATATACGGTCAGTCTTCAGCGTATATGGTGAGTTATTGATAACAGCCGAGTGTGTTGCAATATAGTTAGAAATAAATTCAGGGAACATTTGTCTCCATTCGTGTTCCAATCCAACACCTAATGCGCGTTTCATATATTCCAATGCTGTTATTACAAGTCTTTCGATACGGCCATTACCCCCGTGTTCACCCGTCGAGGCAGGGTGTATGCGTGCATTCTGCGATTGTACATAAGCCTGAAATTCATCACTAATTAGGGGGCTACCCTTATCAACTACATATGTTGATTTGTGGTCACGGGGTAGCAGCTGCGTATTGCAGAAGTTGATCAGTGCATCAGCCGTACCCTCGGTTTTGTGAAGAGGCCGGCCAAATGCTCTCTAAGGGTACAACCATCCTGCGCAAATAATACAAGTGTGAAACCATCGGCATCCGTAGGCAAGCTAAGTTCACCTCCTCACACATGTATCGTGGTCGTGCCGGCTGTTGCAGTAAGCCCCGTGCCGTTGGACCCGTTGGTAACCCTGCCCAGTTACATTCCTCACAGGTATCGATCAGGGACTGGAAGATAGGGACTGGAATGTTCCACGCACACTTCTGCTGTGCAAGGGCACGTAACCGAGATGCCAGGTGTGTGAAACCATCATGCCACACCCAAAGGATCTGCAGAACCTTCTCTGCACCAACAGTCTGGTCCATACACGTGAGGTGGAGGTCGTCAAGTGCATCCAATATCGCCTGGTCCGTGGCAAAACGAATTTGTGGATGCCGGTGGGCACCCTTCCGCAACTTGCGCGCATGAATCGGGGTGTCAGTAGCAGGGCCATCAGAAACTGTGTATGTCACTTCAGACAACGGTTCTGCAGGTTGAGGCCAGATACGGTCCACAACATCGTATGTGGTAGGTTCGGGACTATCCGGTTCATCCACCGTATCTCTAGACATCACAGCCAGCACACGGGCGAACGTACGGGAACCTCCTGAAAGGGAAGGAGGCAGTTGGCGGAAATTTATCACCAAACTGGGTGAGATCTCCCCCGTACTCAGCAATAGCCAGGTTAATTTCTTGTTCAAGGGTAGAATCAACCATCTGTGTGCGGAGGTCCAGTGCTGTCTCCGATACTGTCTGGTCAACCAACGTACCCAAATCACCACGGTTAAGAGTAGCACCCGCCACTTTAGGGCTGACCGTAGGCAATTTAGGGTTGAGGGCAGCAATGGTCTCTACCGAGTCAGGGTCAGCAGACGGAATGAGTTCGCGTGTATTGTTTCAACATATAGAACCATAATATATCAAGTGGAGAGTGACTTTATTTAGACCTCTACGGAGGCTTTTATATATACTTCTCCTATGCATATGGATTATGGAGTCACACGTAAGTCATAAAAGCATGACTTATTGTGGTGAACTCTTATTTGACAGGTCATAATACCTGTCAGTGAACCATGTTTTGACACCTCATGACACCTGTCATTGAACCATCCTCCTCTGGGTACTGAACTGGTATTGTATCTGAGCAGAATGATGACAGTGCTGATTTTGTCCAAACATAGATCTTCCAATTGCTGTGCAAGCATCCAGTTACTTGGAAAGGGTTCTGGGTCCTGCTCTATCCCCGCCGGAGGTAACGTCTCTACAGGACTCGGGGGCTCAGGTTCCGGAGCTTCCCGGGTGAGGAGTTGGTCATGGAGTGCTTGCGCGCGTTTCGAGGCAGCAAGGAGCTCCGCCTGGGTCTCCAACGGAAGGGCTGGTGGTTCGATGGCCGGGTGTGTTATCGCGGCCAGACATGACATAGGCTTCTAGCCAATACTATAAAGAGTAGCAAGGGCTTGTATGAGGCCCGCCCGATGCCAAAATGCTGGCGCAACATGAAAGAGGGGCTTATCACCTTTTAATAGCCCTATAATGGTGAAGTCCCAGTTAGATTTGCCGACTACTCTTCAACCCCTGTGTAAGAACGTGCCATCATTGTGGGGGATGACTATTGGGGTGCCTTGAAGTAAGCGGAAGAACAGCGGGAACCACTCAGCATGAAGCCAAAAGGAAACAACGCGCACCACAACTACATTAGGTTGGCCAAGTACTCGTTGCGACAGAAAAGGCATGATGTCCCTCCAAGGGGCATTCATCCAACACAGCAGGTTGCTGATATCTACCGAGTATGCGTCTAAACCATAGGCACCGGTACCATCCTTGGTGCAATAGACCACCAGCCGGTGGTCTTCATGACTGGCAAAAAGTTCCAGTTGGAGAAAGTCATATATCTGTTGTGCCAAGTCCACCCAGTCGCCGTTCAGAGCCCAACTATCAAAGTCGAGGGTGTCAGTAGGGAGCCGTCCGTTAACAAATTGGTGTGAAAAACACAGCCCATTTGTTGTCCTCATTGCCACAAACAAACGCCACTGTCACCACCACAACTGGGGGTTCAGCGGCAGCCTTAATGTACAGAGCAATAGGTCGTCAATCTGGTTTATGCGATAGTCTCCAAAAACCGTGAGCGGTCCTTCAACATACTGAATATCGACGCGAACCTCGTGGATGTCCTCGATGCTACGTATCCAGCGTTGATGCTTCACAGAACGGGAGTGTGCGTAGCGGCCCGGATCTAGGAGGGCATTATCCAAAGGTTTATAGTCTGGCAGGACCAACAGCTCCCTGTACGAACGATGACACAGGGGTTCAACCTTACGCACCGCTAAACGCATCGCTAACATCTTACAGCTAGTGGCATCGTAATTCTGTTGGACATCGTTCAACTTACTAGAAATGAATAGCGCAGGGAACAGGTACTTAGTAGTGCCAATTGTGACACCAAGGTCCGTCTATGCCTGGGGAAGTAAAACCATGTCAGGGGGTGATGGGTCCGGGCGAATACGCTTTTTGTCAGTTTGAGGCAGTAAAGCATCAGCTGCAGGGTTATTATGAATAGGGTACTGGTTGTCGTCTATCGCGTCTCTGCGAGTCACTGCCTGGGGGTCTAACGAACGTCCAGTGAGCGGAGGTTGCGTCCAGCCCTTGTCCAGCAGGGGCCGGCAGGTAGGGTCTCCGGGTTTAAGATAACAGCCTGCTCATCCTTCAATATTGGCCCAGAGATTGGAGCAGATGTCTGGAGTGGCAACTGTACGTCACTCAGGTGGTCAGCAGGATCCGGAGTAGGGCACTGAACGTCCACTGGAGGAACAGTCGCCCGTACCTCATCAGGATGGGTGGCGGAGGTCCCGGCTAATACATTGGTAATAATGGCATCTTGTGCCGCAATTAATTCAGAACGAGTACGCTGGGGCATAGGGACATGGGCAGCTGCACAAACTAACGGTGTGCGTGCGACAGTAGGAAAAGATGCAAGTGCAGACACTGGAACCTCCTCTGAGTCGTCCAGTTGTCTAACCTTACCTTCGTCGAAGAATTATTTGTTTGTGTGCCCATCTAGGAGGACCAACCGAGGTACCTGGGGATGCATAGTAACAGGAGGTAACCCCAGTCCGGTGTGAGTACCAAGCGCTGGTGTGGCAAGGGCTGGTATAACCGGATCCGTAAACTAATTGCAAGTACCAGGTAGGCGTAAGCAACCTGGTGCTTTGTCTCCCACTTGAAAATTACCCCCTTCCGAGTTAAGTCAGACAGCACAGCCGCTCTATCCGCAAATCCAGGGATGTAAATAGACCACCATGAAAGGACAGCGAGTAAGAAAACTAATTCCTGGCGGTTGCCCGGCGGTGGCCGGTCAAAGAGTGCATGTGCTCGTACACGGAGTATGGCCGAAGTATTGAATATCTCTTTACGGCCCAAGAATTCGACCGCCACGTCGAACAGAATTCCGAGCTGACACTTGAGCGGCTGGAGTTGAATATCTTCACCAATCAAATACGAACAAAGCGGAAGAGGTCATTCCAATGGGAGTCCAATGCTGACAGCAGCGTTTCCCTGGCCTTCTTCTTCGTGGCAAGGTTACCATCATCTAGATAAGTTTTAAAAGCCTTTATATTAGCCTAAAGGTGGTGTCCATATAATGCTGCATATCGTAGCAGCCATTCCCCACCCCTTCCTGTAAGCATCGGGGCTGGTGGAATTTACTGTCCGCCGTGGTGAATGCTAAGTATTTTTACGTGTCCTGGTGGAGGACCAATTGGTGGTAGGAAGCCGCAAGGTCGCATGCCGACTGGATGACCGCATTGCGCGAATGTTCCGCCATATCACTCTCGAGGTGTAGAACATAAGGTAAGTGGTATAATCGGCCGTTGACTCTCACATAATTGATAGTCATACGATAATCCTTAGTGCAGGTAGGCTTCTTCTGTAGGTTCTTCTAGACAATTCGCACAGAACTCACCCATTCACTATAGATATCACCTTCTTCTGTTTTCCCAGCGAGTTAGAATTCTGTACACTTGTCCGTCTCCACTTGTTGCAGCTCGGGATCATTTGTACGGTGTATCTGCCGGGATGGTTGGGCACCTGGTTTCAGTTTGAGTTTAACCATAAATCAGAGGAATGTTCTCTATTACGGTCGCCCGAGCGGTCCCTGTCTTAATCTCGGTCACGGGAATGGCTTCGACCACGTGCTGAAACATAAGACCCACAGCTCAACACCGACACACTGCGGTTATCTCTGTCACGTCCATCGCGACGCTCCCCATGTTGTTGCCTAGATAATGCAGTGACCTGCTTGCCCACATCTGTGGCCAGCTTCATAGGGCCATAGTCATCGATAGTCGTCAGAAAAGTCTCCTTCTGGACCCCGGAGTATGCTGCAGACACAAGAGAACTCATAGCTAGGCGGAGCTCCATGAGGCCCGCTGCCAGTTGGGCAAGGTCCTTATTCCATACTACCGCCAATAGTGTTCGGACCGCAGCATCTAGCGTACAAACTGGCAAAAGTGCCTAATGGGAGAACATTCCCAACTTATCTGCTTCCCGCGCGATGTCCTCACAGATGCACTGCCACGGTACGGCTAAATCTATCTCAAGTGTGTTAGTAGGAGCCATGTGTGTATTTGGTTGCAATCACGCACGCTCGAAATGCTGGCCATACGTGGGCTGGAGTTGTGGCTTGGTACCAACAATGTCGAGCATGTAAATAAATATACTTATGTGGCCTATGTGGTTCAGGACGCCATCTAGCAGTAGCGGTATACTCAAAGTCATCATCGTATCTACATGTGTGTCCGTTGACATAAAGGACATCCCGTTGGGCTCTCAGTTGCCAACCTAGGCCCGGAATTTTAACACACGGGCCGCCTAATGGAATACGATCAAGATGCAAGTATGTATCGTTAAGCCACTGTTCGATCTTATTCAGGTCGGGATATGGTGCCGCATCATCTGGCACCCGTACGTCATGGTGCCTCTGTTGGAGATCTTCGTCATACTCTCTTCAGAACGTGTCAATTTCCCATGCAGTAGCATGCCTCCCAGGCCGTATAGTCAAATGAAGAAACGTAGGGGCAGGGGCAGGAGGCTACATGTTCTCATGGGTTGGGTGGTAATACATACCGCCATCATTCGCTCGCATACGTTTTTGCAGCCTATCTCGGTCCTGCTCAGTACGGTCGTCGAAATTCAAGTGTTTCAAGACTGTAAGCGCTGCCAATCGATGGTCAACGAGCACTGGGGTTGCCTCAAGCTCACTAATTTGGAACGACTGCTGAACACTAATACCCTCAGCTGCGGATACTAACACCCCTTTCCCTTGATCATGGCGCTGAAGATATCGCGCAACCTTCCGGCAAAGTTTAACATGTAATAACTTTTAAATAACCCACAGCACACCATAAAGTGCGAAGTCCGAAATGATCAACAGCTTAAATCGCGCATCAGTTAGGGACGAGATATTCAGTATTCGAACTTCTTCAAGCAGCTCCAAACTGGTTTCTCGCAGAGTTAGGTGTGCAGATATGCCATAGTTGGCAATCAGGTATTGGATCACAGCTTCCACTGTAATATCTGAGCCCAGTTTAGCAATCACCGCAAGTTGGATCGGCGAATCCAGAAACTTCAGGAAGTGGTCAATCCGCGCTGCGTCCGTGGCCAGATTATTGTATTCCTTGGAGACAAACTTGTACGGATTCCAAATTTTTAAGAACGTCGAGATAGAACGCTTACGTCGACCCGTAAAGATTGCTGGTGGATCACATCCGATGAGAATTGAACCATCGAAGTGTGGTAGAGGGTGTTCACACTATACAATACTATAAGCTAACCTTAAGGAAAAATAAATAAAATAAGAAAAACCCTAGTTAGGTAGTAGTCTCAGTAGTTAGACCTTGGTTGTAGTAGACTGTACACAAGGTTTACTATTAGGAACTAAGTTAGATGTCTGCTACCTTGACTACTAGTGTACAAAAGAGTCCTCAGAACAGGTCCTGTTCTCCTAATGACCAAGTTGGTCCTATCTAATCCTGCTAGGTCCATGTGTATCCTCGAGGCCTGCCTCAGTCCGGGACTCGGAGTAGTCTAACCGCAAGAATATCATAACCGCAAGATGGTGAGTCATCATCTAGGGCTAAGGAGTCCTCAATCAGGGTTCCATGGCAGGACCACTGGTAGGGACATTGAGAGTTACAATCCTAGAGTTACAGGACAGTCCCAATGGTCCATAAGGAAAGGGCAAGACTGTCACTCATAGTGTTAATAAGTGTCGGTACTAAACATGTCATATTATTATTTTTTGTTAATATTTATCGCAATAGAGGGTGAATTGAAAGTCGACTACGTTCTTGTGTCAGAATTCGAGCAGCAATTCATGGAAGCAGACAATACACATTAGAGTTAGATATCTAAAGAAGTTAGGGGTCTGGAGCAGTAACTTGTTCCATACCGGGTGCTATGGGCGATTTGCCTGTCCACACCACTGCCTTAGTAGCAGTGCGATTGGACAAGGGATCTATAGCGTTGATAATTTCAATTAATATAGGATAGAGAGTGTGCCACTTTGTCGTAAAGTTAAGAAGGAGGCAGCTGCGGACCATAGCAACAAGGAATAGTAAGTTTGATCTGGACGTAGCCGGTCCGCCGTGAGATGGCGGTGGGAAGACACGGCCAGGGTTTAGGGTTTTAGGGTTCTAAAACCCTAGAAGTATAGCATTGTAATGTTGTTGTTGCGGAGGTTTTACAGAAAGCGCAATAGCAATAAATGGGAGTATTTGGGAATTTCCTGTCATAGTTAGGATTCGTCTATTGGGGATCCAGGCAGAGCCAAGTCCGGGCATTGTGTGAGAGTTAGTCGGGAAGAGGGTGGGGTGAGTATGGTACTGAAAGTAAAATACCCTAATGATATGCAGGTGGACTAGTATAGGGTATATGAGTATAGGTAGTGGGATTGGGTGGTGGTTGGCTTTGCGGTGTGAGGAGGTAGTTAAGGTGAGAGTGAAATACTGCTAAATGTATCCACTTAAAACAATCATCAGACGAAAAGGAAGTTATACTTTTGTAGCGAGTGTACGCTAAATAACTGTATCTCAACGTTCTCCCTTCGTAGAGAGGGAGACGTTGTTCATTTATTAGTAACTGTAAAATTCATGACTCTAAATACGAGTCAGGAGTCATGCGCTGTAATAGCCAGCAAAAACTATATTTATCAGATTAAGATGATAAACTGTAAAAACTGTAATAAAACAAAAACCTAAGTTCGTGTATTCCGACCACAACCTCCCCAAACTGAAGCACTGACCGAATAGAAATGCACCAGTTTTAGAGATGATAAGGAATACCCAAAGTAACTTAGTTGCTGACATTTATCCTCTGAGAGCTAGAGCAGTGTGCTGGCAGTTATCTTCTGGGAGATAGAGCAGTGTGCTGGCATTTAACCTCTGAGAGCTAGAGGGATAACAAAATCACGCTTCGAGCACACCGTCCTACCGAGTAGTCATATCTTAAGATAAAGTTTAGATCTGGGCACGTTGGCGTTTACGTGTCCGTGTCTGCGAGGCCTTGTGGTAGGCCGCGATATCGTTGGCATCATCAAAAGCCTCCGCTGTTTCTCACATGGGGTCGCCTTCGCGCCATCTCACCAAGTATTCCAATTTCCCTGTATCACCACTAGTACGGTGTGTAATAATGTGGCGAAGCTCAACACCTCCTTCTGTCCACAATTTATCTTTAAGTGGTGGGTCTGTGCGCCGATGCACTAACCGGAGGAGTTCCACCCGTACCGGTTTGCCATTGAATTCTGGAGGGGCGGAGCCGTCTTTATTCGCCAACTCATAGCTATGTCCGACCCTAGCCTTAACAATTGTTTTAGTCGTTCTGCCCTCCGATCGTACCATTACCACATCACCTTCGTCGAAATGTACCAAGTCTTGAGCGTGCAGGCGATCAAGTGGTGGAGTGTCGGCAGGATGGTATCCTGCAACTGGTCTAATCGTTGGGCTCAAAATCGGCAAACGGTACGTGACGGCGGCCAAAATATAGACTGAACGGCGCGCTCTTGTGACGTCAGGATATCCGAAGGTTCTGATAGAGCATCGTAAACGGAAGACGTTCGTTCCATCGTATAGGGACTGCCTCACAGCATTGTCTAATGGAACATGTAATCTCCTTATGACGTCGTTTAGCAGCACCCAGTACTTGGGGTCAATATGGTGGTGACACCTTATGTAGCATCCCCACTTCTTGGACCAGGGGCTCCACTATCTTGTTGGTGAATTCGCTTCCCATGTCCGTCTGGATCATACGTGGGAAACCATGCTCGCCAAAACTTCTATCAGTGTTTGCGCCGTCGTCTCCTTCGTCTTGTCCGGTGTCGCTCGAAGGATTGAGTAGCCTGTAGCGATGTCCAGGACGTGAAGTATATAATTGTTCTTCCTTCTGGACTCAAGTGGCTTCGGGATGTAATCAACTTGAATATGGTCCCACGGGTAGCGCGCGTCAATGCTAATCATCAGGTGAAAGCCTTTACGTAGCGTATCTTGTCTCAAACATGTGGCATACTGCCGTTTGACTTCCGTTGCCAATTCGAGTGCGCCCGGCCACACATGGCCGTTATGTCGGAGTTGTTGAACTATGTCGGCCGCTCCATGATGTCCTTGTTCGTGTTGAACTTGCGTGAGTCGCGCACGGTGTTGTTGTTCTTCCGGTGTCGCTCGCTCAAACGCCGGTTGACCCTCTGCGTCTGTCAATGCCATCGAGATCTCTCGTGCTGTATCTAAACACATCACGTACGCCGTGTGTTTTGGTTCTGCGTATCCAAGTCGCTGTGAAAACAGCGGGTCCAGTTTGAACCCGTTAGGAGGCCCCACCCGTGCAATCACTGTGTGTCCCCATGGTGTCTTGCCACAGGCGTACTTAGCATACCTTAGGAACGTATGTGGCGTTCGTGGAACCAGCACTGGCTAGGACTGTAACAACTGTTTGAACAAGTCAAACCACGGTGCCCTTGGTACCCATGGTAGACATACAGTTGCCCTTGCACCATCAGTCCTTATCTTGCGCAACATTATGTGTATCTTCTCCCATGGTGGGTTCATCCATCCATCGACCGTCGACCAGTCGTGGGCAAACGCACCTTCTCCATCGTCTGTAGTCCAAAATCGAGGGAGCTGAGCGCTAGTTGGATCCGCAAATACGTCTATATTATTCGGGCTGAAGTGTTGTTGTGCTAGTTCAAAGTAACTAGGGAATAACTGCCAACAATTTGTGTACAGTATTTCAGGTTCGTATTGCTCCGCTGTCCCCTCGTGTACTCTGCTCAACATGTCCGGAAGCACGTTCGTCTCTCCTGGTATATGTAATATGGTAAAGTTGAATGGTGCGATAATATGGTGCCATCTCTGGAGCATCGGATTAAGCTTAAGCTGTGTATTCATTTACACAAGGGCCTTGTGGTCCGTGAAGACTGCAAACCGTTGCCCATCCAAATGCTTCCTAAAATGTGTAAGCCCATACACCAAAGCTAGTAACTCCTTCATTGGTGTAGCGTAGTTCTGTTGCGCATGGTTCAGAGTCTTGCTGAAGAACAATTCCCGTTGACCCATTGGAATAACGCTCCCCCTAAACCGCAATCGCTAGCGTCACAAGTTCAATGGTGTACCGTCGACCGGGAAGTGCAACGCTACTGCATTAACAACTGTATCTTTCATCGCCTGCCACGCCTGTGCATGTCTCTTCTCTCAACGATCGCCGATCAACTCGTTTGGTTTGAGTTTGAAAAATCCGCCCAAAGGTACGACCGTGTTCGCGAAGTTGGGGAGACGCTCATGAAGGTAATTCACCAATCCTAAGGCGGAGGCTATATCCTTGTACCGTAGTCGGGTAGGCCAGTCGATAAGCTTGGTCTGCTTCTCATGATCAATGTCTATGCCTTGTGCAGACAGTTTCTTCCCTAGGATCATCTTTTCAGGAATAGCGAAGTGGCACTTGGCGGGGTTAAGCTTAAAACTGTGGTATGTTAAGCGTTGAATCACCTTCTGCACCGTCCTAATGTGTTCGTCATAGTCGTCGCTAGCGATAACTATGTCGTCGATATAGTGGTGGACCGGTAAGCCGTCAAGTATCGTACTCAAGGTACGCTGGAACTGTTGCGTGAGCACATGGAGTCCGAACGGTGCCGATGTAAACGAGTACTGATAAAGCTCGTGTGAAAACCTAAACAAGTATTGTGAATCTGGATGGATCGGCAGCCTGTGGTATGCCGCAGAGATGTCCAGCGTAGTGTAGTATTTCTTACTCTTGAGGCGAGAGATAGGTTCGTTGACCTTTGGAATCAAAAACTGGTCACCAGGTATTTGCGCGTTAACGGCGCGCATGTCTAAACACACCCTCACCTTCTTCACGTTTCCTTCCGCAACGTCGGGACCGCAAGGAGAGGGAGGTTGACGGTTGTTGGTGTCGTCCGTTTCGTTATCACCAAATCCGCCAACCACTTCTTCACTTGTTCGTCCATGTAGGGTAGCCATAGGATACAAAGTTACGTGTCGATCTACGCATGTGCATCGCCTGTTCACGGGTTACCGGAATGGTAACTTCACTCCCTTCCAGACGACATCGCGCGGTGTCAGCAATCATCGCGTTCGCCTTTAAATTTGGCGTGTATCGGCGGGTTCCATTGTGTTCGGTGCCTGTCGGTGAGGGATGGGTTCGAGGAGTTCATCCAGTTCTGTGGGGTCTATCGGAGCGAGTGGCGATTGGATAACGCCTTTGTATATACCCAAGCCTTTCAACATATCTTGCCCTACTATGATGTCTATACCTGCTGGTAAATTCATCAACTCAAGTTACCCGTCGATAATCTTGGTGCCATACCGAATGGGTACCACTTCTGTCGTCCCCGATCGAGGAGTTCGAACCGCCTTGTCAGCTAAATAGATGACTGACCCAGGTGGTTCTGGAGTTATTGGGCGGCCGAGCAGGTCTGCGGATGTCTGTGAGATACAACTTCTGTTTGCTCCCGTGTCTATCAATGCTTTGAACGTGCGTCCGTTAACTTGCACTTGAATATAAACTCGGTTATCAGAAGAAAGCAATGGGTCCTGTATCGCCATCACTGCCCTAATCCGACTCAGGCACCCTCACATCTCATGCACGTTCGGTTACGGACTCCCATACCCCGTGGTCATGGTCTGGTTCCGGTGCAGTGTGCTCGAATCTTCCGTGAGTATCGTGTCGATGTGTACCTCTGAAGCTTCTGATGGTGGTACAAAGCCGTCGTCCTGTGTAATCGCATTCACATGTACTTGAGGAGTCGGACGCGTAGTTACCAAGTCTCTACTCGGGGTTTTGTTCTGCCCCTGTCCTGAGGTTGGAGCTGCGGTCGGTCTGAGTGCCAGTTGTGCGTATTGTGATGTGCGGTTGCTATCGTACGGCCGCGCCCGCCCATCCGTACCCCCTGGTGGCGACGCACGGAAATGATGACATCGCGGAATATGACGTGAACCTGGTGGTGCTTGTACCTGACATCCAGCACAAGTCGTAGGTGGTGACGGTTGGGGTCGCTGTGTCCAGTTCTGCGACTGTCGTCGAACCGTCTGCGGGTTAGAGCGGCTATTGGTAAAGTCACGAGTCCCGTTACTCGGTAGACCCTCCCGATTATTCCGGTTCTGGAGACGCGCTGTGGTGCGCTGCTGTGCGTCCTGAATGTCGGGGCTTAATTGCTGCAGAAGCTCGTGCGTCTTAATCAGTTGCCATTTCGGATGTAATTGCAGGGTGCGTTCATACGTTCTCCCATTGAGTGCTTCCTCTAACAATTGTACAATACAGTGATTTAATAGTTTCTGTTGAAAATCTGCATCTGTTTGGCACCGTTCACGTGCCCTCCGATGGTTCTCCATGAGCTGTGTCATTTGTTCCATGATAGGGGTATGCATATTCCGACTGTGGCCCTTGGCTAGCTTACGAAACGCGGGATCGACAGTGGCCTGCGTCTCATGCGAGCAGATCTGTTCGATTTGTAGTTGTGGAGTCCACATCTTCAATCGCTCAGAGTTATCGCGTATGTAATCCAATGTTGATTTCTCAGCCTTGAAATAAGATAGTACTTTATGGAACCATGTAAGGCTTCAACTCTCATTTGTGCGTTCTTAAACGCCTCAAGGAGAGCCCCTCTCGTATCCCGTTCCATGATGTCGTTTAGGTGGTATCTATTCGAAGGCCAATCGGGCCATGTACGAGGTGACGGGATGGGCCGCTTTTCCACCGCGCGGGACTCTAGCGTGGCTCGGAGCGTCTCAATCGCTCCCCGAAGTGCTTCAGCTCGAGCCGTATCATTATCATCCATTGCTTGGCATAACTCGTCGCTCAGGTGTAGTATACGTGCATACAGCACTTATCGGCTTTTCTCAATGCCCGGTGTGGGCGGAGGTATAAGTATCTCCTTCCCCTGCCGCTTGGGCGTTTGTACATATTCACTGGCTGCTTCCTTCTCGAACGACTGTCGTTGCTGTTGTTGGCGAAAGTTCGTACTTAACCAATCCTGCATGTTCTTCAACGCCTCACTCCCGTGAGGGTTCTGCTTGGCGAATACCTGTTGACGTGCGAACTCTTGGAAAGATGGGGTGTCCTCAATAGAAGACAGAGTCATCTCCCCCTCGGTCGATCGGTCCTCTGTCCCAGGTGATTCATACCCGAGTCCATGGTGCGGATGTGTACGGCCTTGGATACGGAACGTAGGGTTGTCCTCATTTCCTAGCGATGTATGCACACGTTCGTGTGTACCAGTAGGTGTCTCAGTGGCAGCCAACATTGTTGAGGCCGATCGGCAGTTGCGCGCTGCAACCTTTGTTCGTACTTATCTAAAAGTGACTGCTGTTGCGCCATTAGCTCAGTCAGTTTCTGAGCTTGTTGTTGTCCTTGTTTGTTGTTGGTGCGACGGCGGTGGCGTCCGTGGTTGGTCATTACTGGAGGATAAGCCCTTTGAAGTACCCGAGGACAAACGGGAGGACAGACCATTACTAGCTACATATTCACTAGTAATGGTCTGACACCGGTCCGCACGCAGGTCGGGAACTCCCTTGGTCTCACCCTCGAAGACGACATCATCTCCTGAATGGGCAGGTTCATCTCCGTGTGCCGTTGGTGACTGCTTGTCGTTAGCGGACACTGGGTGGTGAGCCTCTAGACGCGCCTGTTGTTGCCCTCCAGAACCTCTGTCCAGTGCGGCCCGGATTAGATTGACGACGCTTAGCCCCACGTCGGTCAATATCATCTTCTTTGCGACGTTCAGGGTTCAGATGTTGCTGTCGATGACTTTGGCGGGGGTTGGACATGGTCGAGGAAGTATGTTTCAACGAAGATCTTGAAATGTGTGCGAACGAACTCGGAAAGAATTGAATATGAATACACATTTCCTTACTAGAGTCCATCCCTCAAACACATGACGTCTCGACAATGATACTCGAGTAACCAGTGGACACACTCTTGATTACTTTATTTCACTCACAGACCCTAGTTGTATAGAGAGTCGAGACTCATCTATCACTAACTGATGTCTTACTCCCCTTCGAATAAATACCTCGTTGAGGTATACCCCGCTTATCGGAACATCCCTTCGCCCTTCCCGTCGGCTGCTCCTGCTCCGACATAGGGTCAGCCTAGCTTCGGTACCTCGTCGTGTACTCCATCTATCGCTCCTGATTGCTCTTCTTACTCCCCTGATTTCGTGTCCTCTACTCGTGATGTCCTTGTCATGTGCCGTTGCGGTTGTTGGATTATGTTCCTCGACCTATGACATATTGTTAGTTATTGCGCTCCTAAACTACGCTGCCGCCAACAACGCCTTCTGTGCGTGCTCTTGAGCCTCTCCATTTACCTGATTTATCTGGAAGTTCTAGTGATTTGTGTGTGTTTGCATATCATTTCCACAATTTAACCATGTACTACTTACACCGCTCGTGTTATGTATGCCCCCACCCTTATATGCTCCTAAAAAAAGTCACAGATGCTTACTTATGTCTCTGTGTTCTTCCTTATATCCTCCTCCGTAGACCAACATTGTCTATTTCAGCCTATGTGCAATTCTGGTCGTAGTTGACTTCACTTGGATAGTTATCTCTTCTCAACTTCGTCGCTACCTATTGTAGCCAAATCTTAAGTAACTTATTATAAATAAACTCTCCTGCCTATTCGTCTATAAATTGTAAGCCCAATAAAGAACTCCTTCAGAACCCTAACTCATACTTCGTTGCATATGGATGCCATTAGATGTGCATGTCTTGCCATTCCATAAATCTTAAGTAAATTATTATAAATAAACACTCCTGCCTATTCGTCTATAAATTGTAAGCCCAATAAAGAACTCCTTCAGAACCCTAACTCATACTTCGTTGCATATGGATGCCATTAGATGTGCATGTCTTGCCATTCCATAAATCTTAAGTAAATTATTATAAATAAACACTCCTGCCTATTCGTCTATAAGTTGTAAGCCCAATAAAGAACTCTTTCAGAACCCTAACTCATACTTCGTTGCATATGGATGCCATTAGATGTACATGTCTTGCCATTCCATTTTCTATTACTTAAATCATCGGTCTGCCCACGTCCTTAGCACACGTTATGCAGTCTTTTGACGTGTCGCCTGATGTATATTCACCGCTGTGTCTTTTACCTATCCTATTCTTATTACTTGTTGTACTTGTGTTTTGGTCATTGTTTAGTACCTATGATCTTCAGCATCGACTATTTGTGTACACTGTTTTGTCAACTGACGTGTGCACTGTGTAACCTTGTCTGCTCTAAGTGAAGACTAAATACCAGTTCGTATAACTTAAGTTCTAATCATCTTGTAACTTTGTAAAACAACATAGTATGCCGCTGATTCTTTGCGTCGCAGTACTAGATGAGTCGGCACTAACCATGTACACCTCTCATTTCTACTACTGTAGATCCCAAAAACCCTTCTTCTTTTCTTCTAACAACTCTTAACTATAGTTTAAGCTTATTGCTACTTGCACACTCTATTTGTGCTTGTCTCGCACAAAAACAATCTTCCTACCTGCTCTCGCTTGTGACTACTTATCTCTGGCTGATTCGCTGATTTCGTTATTTGATCGTCTTGGGACCTTCCTTGTTGTCCCTGGGCTAATGATGTACTTGATTGTGATGGTCCCTTCTCGGTTTCACTCGTATTAGTAGATTCTATCTTCGTACTCGTTGTCCAAACGTCGTTAGTGCGACGACCAGATAATCTAAATCGTTTAAGATGTCGAGCCATGTCGTATCTGTTGATTCTAAATCTCCTTTCTTCCACTTTATCGTTCGTAGGTGGTTCTCCCTGGCCATTCCCATAGTCCTCTGGTCTCAAGTCTTCTTCCGCCTCACTGCTGCTGGTTGACATTAATGGCGGCATCGTAACGCTAGCATCACTACTCGAGAACCCACTATCTCCTTCTTCGTTAGGAAAAGTTTGGAAGATCTCGTCATTTTGATACGACATTCTTTGATCTTAATGTCTTTCAATTGCTATATTTGTAACAAAGAAACATATGCTAGCTACTGACTAATTCTTATCCCGTAGCTTTCACTACAATTACTAATAAACTAACAACTTCTATGATAAGTTAAAAATGTAGTAAGTGTACGCTAGATAACTGTATCTCAACGTTCTCCCTCCGTAGAGAGGGAGACGTTGTTCATTTATTAGTAATTATAAAACTCATGACTCTAAATATGAGTCATGAGTCATGTGCCTGTAATAGTCAGCAAAAACTAAGTTTTATCATATTTTTCTGATAAACTGTAAAAACTGTAATAAAACTAAAATAGACTTAAGTTCGTAGATTCCGACCACAAGGACAAGTTTTTCCCTTTTATACAAACACCAACCTCTAGATAATCTAGTACTGTAAGATGTCACTTTCTACTCCTACACAGGCTAAGAAGCATAAAGTTGGGGGGCTGTAGCATCTAGGGACCAGATTATCAAAAAGCCAATCCAAATCCCAAAACCCAGAATAATCAAATACTGAGTTTTGGAATTAGGATTGGAATATTTATGATTTTAGAGTCATCAGAAATATTAGCGGTAGAACCGGTAAGCTATACCGGGACTCCCGTGTGTGAGAGAAACACTCAAGTAAAGCCTGAGTCTAGTGAAAGCACAAATAAAGACTCAGTTCGGTTCTCTCAGACTAGAGACTTTTCCTAGCTGAGATAATCGTACTTGAGAAGAGGTCTATTGTATCCTATTGTCTCGTACCTTTCAGCTACTCTCCATACTCTACACAGCGAGTGCCGGGGGCGGTGCTCAAGTCTAAGAGACGAGCCGGGGGCGGTGCTCAAGTCTAAGAGGCGAGCCAGGGGAGGGTCCAAGCAGCGTAGAAAGAGGCAGAACAACAGCTGGGAGCGGGGCCATGATCTGACAGGGTTACGGCCGCCGTTAACATGGCGTGGGTCTGCGATTTCCCACCGGCCTAGTCTGCGACAAAAAGTGATGTCTACAGCGATTCTCTTCCCGCACGAAGAGGTCATTTCAGCTCGAGGTGGGGCGTTGGTGCAGTCACCGGTTGATGCGGGTAATATGCAGCGCTCGTCACCGCCGAGGCTTCGGAAGGCCCGCCATTATACTGATGATGTGCTGGGCTTTTGAGGCTAGAATGCAGGTTGCGACGCAGCATCCCTTAGCGCTCGAAGGCGAAGACGAAGCCATAATGAGTGGAATGTACTTACCTGGTAGGCTGGATATACTCCACAATATTGATGTGGTGCCAGACCGGGAGGACGGATTTTTGTCCGGGCATGACTCAGGTTATGATCTGACGAGGATGGCGAAGGTTTTGGGGTTGCGGGATTCAGGAACCTAGGTGAAGCGGCAGGAAAGACTGCAGAGGAAGTTCAGGATGCCACTGCGTTGTTTCACGCGTGGGCATATGATCCAGACAATCACAAATTCGCCAAGCTTGATCCGCTCAAGCTGTATATGAAGGAAGAAGCGCAGCCCAAGTGCTGTGGCTACAAGCCGTACACGAATCTGGATTCACCAGAAATGCTGGCGACGCATGCGAAAGTGTTGCAGTTGCTTGAGAGGGGCATTATTCGGCCGTGTGAAGATCCTCCCAACCGATGGCAGGCCAATGTGAAGATGGCCTGGAAGAAGCCTGGGCAGAAGCCGAGACCGTTGCCCGAAGGGTAAATGGCGATTCTGTACCAATTTCAGCCGCTGGAAGGAGGCGCTCGACTCGGAATCATTCCCATACCAACGGAAGCGGAGATGTACGAGTTCGTTGTTGGAAAACCGTGAGTGTCAGTGCTGGATTGTGGCAATGGATTCAATCAACTCAGGCTTAATGAGGAAGCATCGCGGATGTTAACGTTCACGACGCCGTGGGGGCGCTTCTCTTATGTCGGGGTACCCTTTGGGCTCCGTGAAGCTTCTTGGCGTTTTCAAGAAGCCCTGGCGGAGGTTTTTGATTCGTTGCACCACGTGATATAGTACATAGATGACATTGTGATTGCCTCTGACTTGCGGGGGACCACTGGGACGAACTGACGGCAGTGCTACGTCGGTGTCAGGAGTATGGAATCCAACTGGGAATGAGGAAGTGCCAGATAGCGTATTTCAGGCGGCCGGTAACAATACTGGTCCGCAGAGTTGATTTTAATGGGGTATCAATCACGGATGAGCGATTGGAGGCACTTGTGTCGTTGCCTCACCCGACGTCGATGGAACTGGTGAAATCCTGGTATCACACTGTGGCATATTGGAAGCAGTATGTGGATGGCTCCACTAATGTGCTTACTGCCGATCGCGAGACTGTTCCATGAAGAAGGACGCAACCTTCGGTGGGATGAAGAGCACCAATTGGCATTTGATACGTTTAACTCATTGCTTGCACGCAGGACGGTGAAGCTGGCTCAGCCAACAGCACATGAGCAGCTGGTGGTTTATTTTGATGCCTGTGAGTACATAGGTGTGTAGAGTATGAAGAGTAGCTGAAAGGTACACGATAAAGGTTACAACAGACCTCTTCTCAAGAACGGTTATCTCAGCTAAGAAAAGTCTCTAGACTGAGAGAACCGAAATGAGTCTTTATTTGTGTTTCCACTAGACTCAGATTTACTTGGGTGCTTCTCTCACACGCGGGAGTCCCGGTATAGTTTACCGGTTCTACCGCTAGTGTTTCTGATGACTCTAATATCAGAAATATTCCAATCCTAATTCCAAAACTCATTATTTGATTTTTCTGGGTTTTGGGATTTTGGATTGACGTTTTTTTTTAATGATAATCTGGTCCCTATATGCTACAGCCCCCCAACTTTATACTTCTTAGCCTGTGTAGGAGTAGAAAGTGACATCTTACAGTACTAGATTATTTAGAGGTTGGTGTTTGTATACAGGGTAAAACTTGTCCCTTAGGAGCATAATAGGAAAAACCTGCCACTACCATTATCTATTACATATTACCGATTAATTAAATTTATACTATAGCAGGAGTCCTCTACCATGCTCATCGGAGTCGGTCTTGACCGGTGCTCTCGGTTGATCTCAGCTTGGCTTAGGAAAACGCATCTCAACGGTGGCTCTGCAATCGAGTCTCTGGTCCTTGTCCCTCTGGTGTGTGGGGGGAGCATATTCCTAGGCGAGAAAAGTGGGAGTGTCCTGTGGTATCAGTGAGACTTGCTTAGATCCCCCACCTCGTGCGCTGTCTGTGGCTCGCTGATCTTTCATCAGTGCTTGTTGTCCCTGGCTTCTTTGGCCTTGACTGCATTCGTTTACGTCTCCGGCGTTGACGGTATGTTGTCATGACATCAGCATCTGCAATGTCTGATTCATGCGTCCACGTACGCTCACCATCTGTCCATTGCAGTAGGTACTCCTGGAATCCATCACCTCGGATGGACGGCCTGTCGTCGACTATCGAGGAGAACTGAGTCTTTTCGTTTGGTTGTACGTGATTGTTGGAAGTGAATGCTTCCGGAGCACTGGCCCTTTTTACGAAGCCAAGTAGCTCATCACTGATCGAGTCAAGATATTCGGGGGCTTTAGTCCCGTCAAGGTTACAGACAAAATACCCGTTGACCTCCCTGCATACTATTTTGTATGGTCCGCCATTTGGTGCCGTTAACTTGTTCATTTCACCTTGATAGCAGACCATGACAAGGTCCCCTTCTTGGGAGTTTACATACTTCTGTTGATATTTTTGATCGTATGCTGCTCGCATTTTCTCTTGATACTGTGCAACATTGCTATCTAGTCGTGGCCTAATGGCTTCTTCTAGATTTTGCAGTCACTCTTCCCAAGATACTGTTGTACTGGGTGCGGTCACTGGCTCATTGTAGTCCGTGAGTTGATTCTGCCTGCGACCAAAGTATACATTAAAGCGCGGTGACTTGTGTCTTCTGGATGTACGCAGATTATGGCCCATCTGTACGAATGGAAGTCGTGAACACCAGTTACCTGGATTCTGTATAACGAATTTCCGTAACAGTGGCACAAGGTCACTCCTCTGCCTCTTAATAATATCTGCTAGATTATTTTTTAAGATTCTGTGCAAGACAAGAAGTTGTTTCACATCTACTAGTCTCTTATGCGTGACCTATAGTATGTGTCTATTCTGTTGACTTAACTGAATAAGGATATTGTTAAAAATATAGAGTATGGAGAGTAGCTGAAAGGTACACGATAAAGGATACAATAGACCTCTTCTCAAGTACGGCAATCTCAGCTAGAAAAAGTCCCTAGTCTGAGGGAACCGAACTGAGTCTTTATTTGTGTTTTCACTAGACTCAGATTTACTTGAGTGTTTCGCTCACACGTCCCGGTATATCTTACCGGTTCTACCGCTAATATTTTTGATGACTCTAATATCAGAAATATTCCAATCCTAATTCCAAAACTCAGTATTTGATGGTTCTGGGTTTTGGGACTTGGATTGGCTTTTTGATAATCTGGTCCCTAGATG